TGTGTTACATCCTTTTTGCTATTGGGAAAAACTGTGTTCTACAAAGGCACTGTGTCGCCATCGTACGATTCAGACGAGGGCGATTAACCCTGAAAATCGTGAGTCAGCGTAATGCTTTTAGAAAATTTAAGATCGTCAGTTGGCTTGAACTCCCACTTGTGTGAGCTTGCTAACTCTAGAACTTCTACAGTGCGTTTCATAATATAAGCTTACCCTCAAATTTTGCATTTCCAGAATAAGCAGTCATTTAGGAATTTTTCTAGCATTATCAGCGGATTCCCCAGCACGAATAACCCCCGTATCCAAATTTTGGCAGCAGCACCATTTTTCTGAACTTTTTTATAAGTGTTTTTCGTTTTTGCACCGTTTCATAATTATAAGCTCACCCTGAGAAAATGAACAATTTCTCATGAGGATCAACAGGTGCTTATATAAGTGAATATCTGTCACTAACAAATCTTAAGACTTCATTTTCGGAATGTTTCGTGGTGGTCTTTGAAGAAGGGCAAGATTTATGCATTTCGACGTGCTGGGCTCGGCACAAGAGTGGTTGCGAAACATATCGGAAAACTTCTCGCTCATTCCAAGGATGTTTGAAGTGCTACCAAGTCTTCAGGTGTTCTACTACTCTTGCACACTCACGTGCATTTACTATCAACGATTCGAGAAGAATTTTGGAGGCAGTTTCCAAACAGTACCTTCTGTTATAATCTAGATTCGCTCGTAATTAAACACTTCTGTGTTGGAAAATAAAGTTCGGAGAGGGGTGGAAGAAGCAGAGACATTGTCAGCAAGGCGGTGAAGATCGTCCCTGGGCTCACTGGCCACAGCAATAATGCACGACTCCAATTTTCAAAGTTGAATTTAGATAAAGATTCGGTAAAAGTGAGCCTTCGTCACGAGACGCCATGCACCTCAATAGTCTCATCAAGACTGGTTTTTTATAAGTGAAGAAGGGTGATGTGGGCAGTTTCAACGAAAACAAGCGCTTTCACAGTAACTTTCGAAGGCAGACCGTTTGGTTTGGTGCTCGTAATTTCGGTGGAGGAAGTGTGAAAGTCTGGTTGCTTTCTGTAATGATGTTATAACGAAACTTTCCTTAGTAACCTGCGAAACCGACTCCACGGATTACCAGTAAGTCTAGCAGCAACACTTATAGTGCTTTTTCCATGCAGGCGACGTCGTCTAAACTATTCTTATAGCGGCAAGATCTGTCCGTCCACGTGAGTCCCTCAGCAAAAGATTGGCTGCATTCCCAAACCATAAGCGTCCAGCAGTGGCCAGCCTGCAGTCCGGATGTCCATCCGATGGTGAACATCTAGGGCGCCATCGCCAACAAGGCTTATGCGAATAAGAGTTACTTACGAAAGTGAAAGAAATTCTGAAACAGGCTATCATCAAGGCTTGGAGTGGAATCGATAAAGAAGGGCTTTGAAACCTGGTTCCCTAGTAGACCACGGTGATCCTTGGATATCGCACTTTAACAAAGTGGAGTCATAGTCTTACTAACTCTCTCACGTACGGCAATAACATAAATAGATTGTTCATTTTCTCAGGGTGACCTTATAATTATGAAACGGTGTAAAAACAAAAAAAAAACTCTTATAAAAAAGTTCAGAAAAATGGTGCTGCTGCCAAAATTTGGATACGGGGGTTATTCGTGCTGGGGAATCCGCTGATAATTGCTAGAAAAATTTCCTAATTGACTGCTTATTCTGGAAATGCAAAATTTGAGGGGGAGCTTATAATTATGAAACGCACTGTATGTGCACTGGAAGGGGGGATCTACTTGATGACATAGAGGAGGACTTGCGTTACTCAGGAAATTCTGCTAATTGCACGTAGGTCACAAGAAACAAAAGATAAAAAAAAGGATAAAACATAGGATTTTCGGCATGGATCAGTCCCGTTTTGGAATAGCCACGCATTACGGTACACATGTTTGGCATGAAATCGAGGTGACATTTGAAGATGATCTTACATGTCTAATAACTTCTGGGACCAGCCGACGAACGACTCAGTGTTTGCATACATCGAGACGAGTTTGGTAGTTAGGAAGATCCGGTGAGATCAAGCTCGGATGACCTGGTTAGCGCAAGAGATTTCGGGACTGTGCGCGCAATGAACAGCTTTTTGTCGCTACATCACTACCCTCACAGCGATAAACGTATTCCGAAAATTCGCGGCTACCGGGTCGTGACCTTCAGGTCAGGTGCTTTGTACTGGTTTACAACAAGTTGCTCAGTGCAGATTGTCCGGAACACACTCAAGCTTAGGTAGCACGTTAGTCGTAGTTTTGCTACTGAAACAGAAAAGAGTTCCACATTTCGAAAGAGTCGTGAGACTCAAAAGAGAGATTATCATTTGTACAACCATACCAAAGGATCTGCAGCGTTACTTATCGACATTGAGACGCGATAGATTGACAAAGGGACCCTCCGGATCGGATGCCATAGATGCCTGAAAAAATTCAAGGTTCAATTATTGATTGCTACCGCAAACACTGAAATCGTCTGTGTACCATGAAAAGTAAGTGAGAAAGGCTAGGTACGTAGCCGAGAGCTGCTCAGAGTCCAAGTACTCGCATAGCTGCGCGCTCATTTGCCAGGTTATCGGTGGGCCTATCCACTTACTATGAAGCCCTTCGTTTGTCGTTTATCTGTCTGTCTGTCTGTCTGTCTTCCTGCTTCTGTCACGATCTGTGATCCGCCTGGAGAGACCGGATTAAGTGTGGAATGGATGTACCATATCTTGAGAAGTACAAAACGTAGTCAGGCTAAGCGGAAAACAGCAGCGGTCATGGCGTCCATCGAAATGAACGGTGCTGACAACCAAGATTTCAAATTAGATTCCAAAAGACTAGAGATTGGGGAAAAATGGGTAAAGGTGTGCATCGAAAGAGCCGGATTGAATTTTGGAGACCCACCTTCTCACCTTCGGCGGATAGGGCGTCTTCTAAAAAAGGGGTGCGCTCCCTGACAAACATCCATAACTCGTTATAAAAGCTGACAGAGCAGAAAAACTGGTGTAAGTAGGCAATGAGTGGAAGTCCCGCTCACAATGGGCGGAGCGTGCACTGAAACGGACGGCGTTTCCTTCAAGTCCTCATAATTCGGTTCCAAGAAGTCTTGGGAGCGGGAAGGTTGGATAGAGGCCTGAAAGAGAGGAAAGGCTAGATGTTAGTGGTAGGCGTGACGTGCACAGAAGTGAGCTGAAGTTGCCACCAAAGTTGTAACAGGGTGGTTCCGGAGAACAGGAAAAGGCTGTGTGCTTGATGTTCTGATTTTTTTTTTAATTTTTCTCTTCTCTGAGTCATGCAGTCAGTCCCGCTTAAAAATAAATAAATAAATAAATAAACCAATAAAATATATAAATCAAATAAACAAATAAATAAATAATAAACAAATAGTAAATTAAATAAGTAGGGTTTCCATTTATGTTTGAAGTGTCAACACCTATGGGTGGTGAAACGTGCGAGCAGATGTGGGCGGAGTTATCCATGAGAACATTATAAGTTGGTTCCAAGAAGTCCTGGAGACCGGGAAAAAGTGGATCGAGTCTGGCAACGGAAGAGAGGTCAATTGATTGGGCGGGTGGGGCGTGCACTAATGTGGGCGCAGTTGTCCACGAAACATTATAACTCGGTTTCAAGAAGCTCTAGAGACCGGGAAAAGGGAAAGTAAAAGTCAGCGAAGATGTAACCAGGCAAAATGCTACTGATGAGCGGTGCACGCCTCAAAATAGGCGGAGTTTACCACGATTTTTGAAAATTGGTCCAGAGACAGTCCACAGACCAGGAGAAAGAGGACAATGGTTGACGAAAGGGGAGGGTCAAAAGTCCATCAGTGTGTGGGAAATGGACATGGTGAGCGGTTAAACATGATCCCGCAATATATGTAGTCCAGAGATAGCATGGAGAGCGAGAGATAACCTCATCATCAGATTCATTCCTTTCCCATAGAATCTAGCTCAGGAGTCAAATGTTTGTGGCGTACAGACTCTATACGCCACAAACATTTGACTCCTGAAATAGCAAATTTAGTTCAATTAACGAGGAAAATTCATGACGAGCGCGAGTTTTTACACTTTCCGAAGCCATAACTTGCTTCATTTTCGTCAAATCCGAAAAGTTAATATGTCAGACAAAACTAGAAGATTTTCTATCAAATGCGGTTGCTAAAGCAGCTCATACGTCTCAACAGGTATTGGAAAATGCCAGAGCGACGTCGATTGGATTTTTTGTAAACCTAACGAGGAAAAATTCGTTGATTGAGAGCAAGTTTATTCGCTTTTCAAAGCCAGGTGATCATCAATCTATTAATCACAATCTTAATTAGTCATACGTATGGACAAAAACTAGAAGTCTGCCGCTCTATCCAAAGTTTACTAATTTAGCCCGCGTCTACACTCCAGTATTTAAACACAGCAATCCGGCACCGCAGGATTTTGCGCACCGAGTTACCGCCGGAGGGCTGCTTTTGTCCGTTATGCATTTAAGTTCACCTGTCAACGGACATATAGCTCCGTTTAAGCGGCGATTTAATTAGAATGTTACGATCAGATCTCGATCCGGGCTGATTTTTTCTCTTTCGACAAGGGGTGTGAATTGACCTTAGCAATGCCTCAACTTTAAGGGTATATATGCGTTATGAGATTGGCGCTGAGAACTGCCTTTGTTTTGTTGGCTCAAGGCAACGTTAGTGTTGTGCCGTCTACTGATAGTTTAGTTGGACTGAAAGCTATGGTACGTATACCATGAAAAGCTGAGTTGGAATGAAATGGTGCCCCGGTAGCGTAACTGGTAGCGCACTTGCCCGGAAAGCGAGAGGTGCGGGTTCTAGTCCCGCCTGGGGCGAAAGTTTTGTTCACAACCCAGCATTCTTGTGAAACTGAAAAGACTGCGTTTATGATTGAATGGCGCACTCCTCCCTGTAATTTCACAAGGAACCGCTTCCGGATCCTTCTTGATTTCCTTAAATCGAGATCCTTTCGTAAATGAGGCCGTAGTGAAAAGCGCGGTGCACAGCTGGGCCATTCGTGGGAGTGCGTCCTGTGCTGCTTTACATCCCTTCAGGTTCGAGGGACTCACTTGGAAGTTTTAATATCCCTTGGAAAAGTGCGAATTTCGGATACTTCAGCTGGTGTGGTGGATAAAACACTGAAGTAACTAAGAATTGATAAGCGGACACTCTCTGAATCACGAAGATTTTATGTGGGCGGAATAACATTGTTATTGGATTCTCTGGCCTGGCATCGACTCGACGTTTTTCCTCCGACAGTGATGATTCTACTGCATCAATCCGGCCCAATTTCTTCCTCCCAGCTGGCCAATACGACCCCCCCCCCTGTGACGTGTCGAGGATTCCTCAACGCACGCTTGACCCTGGTATAGAGCCAGATTTGAGAATTTACGCTCGCCCCACTCCATATCGCCGCAGAACAGTGTTGTGCGCGCAACAGCGTACCACGCCAACTGGCTTGTAAAAAACAAATTAGAAATATACATACAGTGCCGAGTCTGAGCTGTCTTGCTGAACTGCTGCTTACAGCTCGTGCTGTACGGGCTGTTTCGAGCTCGCAAGTTAGCGTGGACGCTTCCTTTGTCCATCGGACGTGAGCGATGTGATATAGCGGTCCGCGGACGACTCCGGAAGTTGGTCGTCCTGCAGTCGCATGTAGCGGTCTGTACATTGTAATGATTGGACATTCTGTTCTCGCCGATTGACTAGGCCAATGCAACATAGAATTTTTAAACACTTAAAGCTGGTTACGGAGACACTTCATCCTGCGCGCCTATGCCCTTCCTCGGTGTCGTGCAAAATGATACACGAGATCAACATGCTATGCGGAATGGTTTTCAATGTAAGTGCTTTTCGAAGTGTTCGACTCGCAACGCCATTTGAGGAACTCACACGTGCCCAGCGCACTCCCGCTGAGAGAAATTCTCATTAGAAAATAGATGCTCTAATCTACAAATGCTTTATCAAGCTAATAAAGCAATGTGACACGGTTCTGTGGTTTTCATATCAATCACACTGTCGTCATTGTTTAAGAAAACAGACCTCATTATCGGATTCATTCCTTTCGCAGTTGTTGTCGGTCTTTGAAACGAAGTGCCAGGACGAGCATTCGGTGCGATGACATTCTGATCGAGAAACGTCTCAGCTATGCCAAGCTCCTCGTTCTCCAACTCATCTACGTAGACGGGGTCAGTTAGGCAGGAAAGTTTCAGCGCCCAGGCAGCCTGAACGTGAACTGTATTTTTCTATGGTTTGAGGCAATGGGTAGGGTTACCACATCGTGGGCTAGAGCGCAAAATCTCACTTGATCCAGCGGATTTTTCCTCAGAAGTCTCGTACATTCTTCTTCACATGCTTGAATCTGGTTGTTGCGATACAGACGAAGAGCTTTGAAGAGCCCATCGAAATGGGGAACTTCTTCAGATGGCGCTGCAGCTGCTGGTACCTCTGTGGACATTTCTGTTCACTGAAAATTGAGTAGTATCCTGGGCATGGCCTAATCTTGTTCTAGAACGAAGTTCAAACATGTAGCAAAGCAAACTGAAGTAGCCAAAACATCTGGCAGTTATTTCAAGGTAATAAGGTGAGTGCCACCCAGTGTCTACAGAATGAGATCAGTTAGGCAGTTTGTCGAATCGAAGCGATTAGCACGTACTGCTCATCTAACAATAAGAGTAGTATTAGCCACGAAAAAGGCAAAAATTGTGTTCACGTTGTTGAGGCGCAGTAGCGTTTCCATGGTGACGAGACTGCTGAGCATTTCGGCGCGCAGCCTTGAAGCTGCTGTTCAAAGGAGACTTTCTCGCTTTGGATGGTCGTTTTTCAGCCAGATTTATCCACCTTTTCAAATAAATTGGAAGATACCATCCTGGATAAGTAGTAAAACACCAGATATAAAAACAGACAGTAATTGCATTGGTAAGGGCGACACAAACGCGCAACGCACACGTACCGAGTCACAAATTTTGAATGGATTTCCTCCCCTTCTCCTACTCGGGCCAACCAAGCTTTCCGTTCCTTCTCGTACATATTTTATTTATTACATATTTTATACTTATTTTCATCGTGTTTCATTCTGAACTACGGTTTCTATGCCATAAATATATTCTTACCCGTTTATGGGGCACACTCGGAATACTTGCAAAAGAATTGATTGACGCCGAATGCTTTCCATTTAGCCCTTCAAACGTCGAATTTATGGTATTAGATAGCACATTCCGAATCTCTAGGGTGCCACAGCATGGTTATTCGAATTCATTTTCACGATCATGGCTCAATTCTACAACTCCAATATTGTTCTTGTTTTTTG